AGTTTAGAATAAAAATCTGAAGAAATTTTGATGTTCACATGTTTTATCATGTACATGACACACGTTATGACGTACACGACACACGTTATAACGTACATGACACACGTTATGACGTACACGACACACGTTATGACGTACACGACACACGTTATAAGGTAGTACCGGTAATAAACGAGATTCAACTTCAAAAATAGGATGTATAGCAACAAAATTGTAGCCAATGTTTTATTCATAACTTTTTAAATACTGTAAAATTGTATTTATTTTAGCTAGAATTAATTTTCGCTGAAAAAGCATTTTGGGTGTTTTGTATGAAGTTTATTTTCACTGCTTTCAGATTAGTTGAATGTAAATTACAGGAAAAGGAGTATTTTGTTGCATTTTATTTTTCACTGATTGATCCCTTCAGCAAAAAAAGCTGAAGAGTAATTACAATAATTAGTTTCGATTAGTAACTTTAATCACAATCCAGCCATTTAATACTAATCTAAGAATATTCCCACCTTGTTTTGACATGTTGACAACTCAACTACCAACACTAATGTTTCACATACAATGTACTTGATATAGAATGTAAAATTCGTCCATCAACATCTACCAGTTGTATATTGTGATACTGATAGTGTATTTGTTCTCAGTATTGCAGTGAACTCCTGTCCTGCCAGCCACAAGGACTGTTGTTAAGATTTGCTGCCTCTGATGACTCTGATATAAAAAGAGGTGCAATACAGTGCATAGGAAATATGTGTATGAGGTAAAGAAGAGTTGACCAATAATGTATTTATAATAGCCATTATTTCACTGAATATGCTTGTTAAATCCCTGTTATCATGCAATAATGCCTATGGTGAAACTATTTATTTCAAATATAATACCCCTAATGTTGACAAAAATTGAATATACATGTATGTTTTGTTTATGTGAAAATGACATGCGAACCCATGTGCATAGGAGATTTTTCAGATGAATACATCATGTAAGGTTATGGCGCTGACAAAATTGCAGTGAGCTCACTGTGATTAGTGTCAGCATGTCATTGAGATTATTATTTTTTCAACATTTAAGTTCGATTATGAATCGATTGTTGCCTCAATTTCATGTATATTTCATGGCAAGCTGCCATGTATGGGTGTTTCACCTGATGTAACTCCCTATACAATTCATCTAGAAAAAAGCACATGACATTTTGCGTCATGTTTTGTGTTAAATAAATAAATAAATAAATAAATAAATAAATAAATAAATAAATAAATAAATAAATAAATAAATAAATAAATAAATAAATAAAGCATTTATAGTATGTTTATGAACATGTGCATTAAAATTCATTTGCTAAGGCCAATTTATTTATTTATTGATTTATTTATTTATTGTGATTATTTATTTTAGGTCATCAGACGGTCAGTCAATTGAAGAGGAATATCTTACAAATAGTTACCAAGTTATTGTTAAATTACTACAGACACCAAAACAAAGTAACACGGATGACAATTCACACTGTCGGGTAAGATTTCTGTTTTATGGTATGGATTTCTGAGTTATATGGTAGTCGTTTGTGACCTTTAGTCAAATCATACATGTATAGTCATAGCATTTTATGATTTTAACTCTGTAACATGCACTGTTTCACACATGTCTTACCACTACAACCTAATAAATGCCTATTATATGCTCATTATAAAACTCTATTGCCAAATATGGATATCCATTATACCACTATTGCCAAATATGGATATCCATTATACCACTATTGCCAAATATGGATGTCCATTATACCACTATTTCCAAATATGAATGCCCAATATACCACTATTGCCAAATATGGATGCACATTATTTTTAGATATTCCAGAATTATTACAGTGAAAATATAAACAAGCCTTGCTCATCTCCAAAATGAACACACTGTGCTGCAATAGAAGTATGTGTCAGGTTTAGACTTACATAGCAATCATTGTATTTCTCACATGTCATAACATTTTATACACAGCTGATATTAGGTGCTTTACGTGGTCTACAAAGTATTCTCTTGTCTTGTAAAAGAATACATCTTGACAATGTTGGAGCCATTTTAGCAGCTCTCAAGGTAATTTTTTTTTATTTATTCTATTTAGATATTAATTTTCAAAGGATAAAAATATTGACCTCCCCGTAGGTTACAGTTATTTTAAATCAGTCGGCAAATTTGGACAATTGTTTTATCAACAGATTCCTTGTCTTTAACCCTTTCACCACCAGACTTTCTCGCCCAAATTTGTCTGCACTTTTTTCTTACATTCTTCAATATTTATGGAAATCAACCCTAATTTTTGGAGCCAACAGACAAAATTTGAGTAAATTTTTAGTTTTTGCTCAAAAAATTTGGCTATTTTTGTCCCAATCTTCTGAAGGAAAGTGCAAACTATAAACGGGACTATTTTGTAAATTTGTGATGAAAAAAGGGAACTGGTGGTGAAAATGTAAAACTTTTGATCGTTATACTTTTTTCTGCCAATTTGTCAAAATTTTGAAAAAAATGGATAAAAATATGCTGGTTTATTTTGTGAAAGGTGTGAAAAAGCTTTTTTCATAACCGGTCGATTTTGATACAATCTGTCATCCAGGGTCCTGTTTGCCTCAGTTTTTCACAAGTTTAATAGACATGCTTTTATGTTGTCCCTCAAGGAATATCTTGACAAAGATACTTTCGTACAGATATATTTTGTCTGTAAAAGACGTTTTCTATATTTTATGAAAAGTTCATTAAATTTTCAAAGGTAGCATGGATGACTGACTACAATACAGAACAAAACTGAAGCTGGTATAGGTAGTCAAATATCTGCCTAATACTGTGCATTTCTACTGACCAGAAGTGAAATCCTACATACATTGATTCATGCAACCTCCCTTTGCTCAGATGGTCGCTAAGCACCAAGGAACCAAAAACATGACTGTCTATTATGCAGCACTCTTGCAGGAGTACAGACATTTCTTGACATGATCATGGCTTGGCTGCTGCCAATCAATACCATACCATGTTAAAACTGTTATTATTTCAGGTATATGCTGTGCTTGGAATGGGAGGTCCTCGTGTTGATATCCAAATACCAACTACATTATACCCTACACCCATGGCACAATATGATCTCAATCCGACTTCACCTGCTAAACAGGCAGACAGTGAAGATGTGACTCTCCGTCCAACGAGTGGTAAAGCTGGCAAAGGAAACAAGGCACAGGGAGGAAAAACTCAGCAAAGTAAAAGGACAAAGAAAAAAAGGAGCTCACAGAAGAAAAATAAGGAGCAAGGAGAGGGGGAGGGAGATACAACTGGTGACAATGAGTTTGGCGCTGTTTCAGCCTCTAGAAATACAGCTTCATATCAGTTGAAGGGCTATTCTAGCAGTGATGCATACTCCTTTCGGCCAACCTGGGACAAGGTTAGCAGTTCAGAGTCTGAGTATTCAGATACAGAGGGAGGAGAGGCAGCAAAAATAAAATCCTGTATGTCTAAAGTTAGACAGACAGCATTAGGATGTCTTCATACAATAATAAGGGTGAGTTGAGATGTAGAAATTGTCAAGAAAAACATAAGTATGTATAGTAAACTGTGTCCCTATGTCATCTGTAGTACCCAAACCAGTGTGAGTTTATTCCATGTGTATGTCGCACTATAGCAATGTATGCAGGGATTG